CTTCAGTCTTCCTCACCCATTCTTAACAAGTTTTTTTCCCTTTTTTTGAGACAGAGTCTCACTCTGTTGTCCTGGTTAGAGTGGCCTGGCCTCAGCCTAGCTCACGGCAACCTCAGACTCCTAGGTTCAAACAATCCTCCTGCCTTAGCACCCTGAGTAGCTGGGACCACAGGCGCTTACCATAACAGCTGGCTAATTTCTATTCTGAATAGAGACGGGTTCTTGCTCTTGCTCAGGTTGGTCTTGAACTCTGAGCTCAAGCAATCCTCCCACTTTAGCCTCCTTGAGTGGCTAGGATTACAGATGCGAGCCATTGTGTCCAAGCCTTACAAATTTTATTAAGCCATTCTTATATTGGTTCTTGGCCTTTAGCTAATGATTTCAAAAATCTGAACTCAACAGAGAATTTTCCCAAAACACAGCACCACACGATGTCTTCTAGTGCATGAATTTTTATCTCCCACTGTGCCCTTCAATGAGGAGAACGAGGTTTGCAATCTGACGCCTGGTTTCAGTTCCATCTCCCCCTTTCTTGCTATGCCCTCTAGTTTTCTCCTCTGTAAACTGGGATGAGGAATGTTTCAGTTTCCTATGGTTACAGTAACAAATTGCCACAGAGTTAGAGGCTTAAAACAACACAAACTTCTTATCTCACAGGGGTCCAAACTCTGAAATGCGTCTCACAGGGTAAAGCCACAGTGTTCTAGGGAGAACTGGTTTCCCTGCCTTTTCCTGCCTCTAGTGGCTGCTTGCATTTCTTGCTTTGTGGTTCCAGCTTCCATCTTCCAAAGCCAGCGACGGGCAGACACGTCCCTCTCACGACACTCTGACTTCAATCCTGCTTCCCTCTTCCACTTTTAAGGACACTGTAATCACACTGAGCTCACCTAAATAATCCAAGATAACCTCTCATTTAAAGGTCAGCTCATTACCAACCCTAATTCCCTCTTGCTATGTAACGTGACATACAGTCACAGGTCCGGGGTATAGGAAGATGTGGACATCCTTGAGGGCCGTTCCTCTGTCTACCACAAGATAGCAATGCCTTACTCATGCGGCTGTTTCAACAATTACTCGTATTTCTAAATTCTTTCCATTCTTTCCAATCTAATCCTGAAGACTAAAACTCATTTAAGCCAGGTGCCATGGCGTGCACCTGTGGTTCCAGCTACCTGGGAAGCTGAGGTGGGAGGATGGCTTGAGCCCAGAAGTTACACTGCACTATTATGGCACCTGTGAGCAGTCACTGCACTCCAGCCTGGGTAACATGGTGAGACTGTGTCTCAGAAAGGAAATAAAAACGGTATTTCTACTCATTTATTCAACACTTACCTACAGAGTTCTAAATCAATGAAATAAGCATGGTAAGTACTTAAGCCTGGCACACTTAATAAATGCTGCCCAGAATTAACTAGTGATCATAACTTTATAATCTCTTTCTGCAATATGGTCCCAGCCACAGGAATCTACTTCTCTGTCTGAACTTTCTGAGCTGTATGTTCCTAAAACCCAGCAAAGGACTGCTTGATTCTGAAACTGTCAAGTCTAACACGACTTCCTGAGGCCTCTGAGGACCCTGCTGTCTTCTGTGTCAAGGCAGAACCCTTACTGAGGCTGCTCCCCCAGAGACGCAGCACCAGCAGGGCCTGTCAAGGGCTCCTCCTGCACTGATGTGCCCACTGCTCGTCCGGCCTGCTCTGTGATCCCTGTCAGGAGCCGTCCTCTGTGGCCCCCGACACAATGGCCTACTTCATGAGTCCAAGACAACTCAGCTTCTTTGTACCAGATCCAAGCACAGAGCCCTCTGGCAGGGCCTGAGGCCGGACGCCAAACCGATGAATGTGGTTTGGCCTCCAGGTGGGCTCCATTCTCCATCACATCCACTTGCTCCCACTGCTGGTGTTCACTGCCACTTCACATGCCAGCTGGGATTCGTCTAGGGAGTTCTTCCCTCCTGGGAGAACACGAAACTGTCTCTGGCCCCGTGGTTTATTTCTAAGTAGCTACCCTGATGTTATCAACCATGAGGTATACTTAGGTTTTCTGTTTTTTCAATGCCATAGCATTACCCTTTATGATACAAGGTTGGATTATCAAGTTTGTGACTCATCCTTCGAAGTACTCCCCTTGGCCATCTGGTGACCAGAGTGACAGTTAGCAATGAGGTATGTAGCACTTTTTCTAGGAGAAGTTTGAGAATTTAATTGCCTGACCCTGAGAATTTAATTGTCTGACCCAAGGTTGAGGTCAGATCCTGAGTCTCATGACAGCGGCTCCCTGCTCATTTTATAAGCTACACTCTAGTCCCTGCTGAGACAGAGGGTCCAAACCCTCCTCAGTAGCGGAGACCTGGGAGCTGGGCACAGTCACTGTGGACAGATGATGTGACCGAGCAGGAGCCAGCTGGGAGCCTTGGGGGCTGTGCAGATGCCACAACCTCACCTCCTGCCCCTGAGGTGGGGATGGAACTGGAGACCCCCAGCTGTCACATGGGTCCCTCTCTCTGAGAACACAAACAGGACTCCTCCTACCAATCACTGTGGAAACTGGAGCTCCCCAAGGCCAGATCATCAGGAGACCCCACTCCTGCTGCCCAGTTGCCATGGGGCAAGGCATCCGCTTTCCACTCCTGCAAGGCTGGGTCATATCTTCCCATTCATCAGCTCTTTGACCACAATTTCCTCTGTCACCTCAGAAACTGTATTTTCTTCCTGGCTTCCTCCTATGCTCTCACTTCCATCTGTTTAAGCACAATCCAGCCTTGCTAATAACCCCCAGTGGGGCCAGCTGGCACCTCCCACCAGCCCTTTCATCTTCTGTTTGCACAGGAAAGCCAGCTCTCACCTGGACAGACACCACTGGCCAGCGCCTCAGCGCACAGCCTGCAGTTCCCATGGTGGCAGCTGGCACAGCTCTCTTTCCCACCCCATTCTCAGACCTTCGGAATAGCTGAGTCCTCTTGGCTCCCCTGAAAACTCCCCAGCAGAACCATTAGCAATTGCAGGCTTTGCTGACTGTGTATGTTGTCCTGGGTCAAAGGTGTGCTGAAGAAAGCAGCTCTGTCATCCACTTTGGGAATCCCAGGAATCTAAATCTTTAATTCACTACATCATCTCACTACCTACCTGGCTATGCAGGGTAATTATCTGACTTTGTGTCCTGACGGCCAGCATCAGAGGTGAGAATACTATTCCTATGACCCACTGCTTTGGCTTTGTCTCTGATTTCAATTAGGAATTAAAGACTTTCTGCATTTATTTTATTGTTAAAGAGATTATAAACAGAAACCCAAATGTAAATTGATGATAAACAATTATACTAAAATGGCATGAGTAAGGTTTGTAAAGTAAAAGCCTCAAAAGAAAATTCTAAGTGACAGTGAAAATAAGGAGAGAGAAAAATTCAGAATATTTTCCAACAAATTACTGGCATTGAAGAGTATTATTTAACAAATAATGGCTCAGTAAATTTTAAGTAAAAATTCTGCACCTGAATTTTGAACATATACTATGTAAAAATTATTTGCAAAACTCAATTTTCCTATTCTGAAACCCCTGCATTTTTTTTTCAGATTAACATAAGAATACAAATGATTAGGTTACTTTGTGTTTGTTAGGTAAAGTCCAAGTTACAGCTAAGCCCTTCACCCAGGAGGCGTTATATACCCCTATTTTGTGCCCGTTAGGTGAGGGCACACCAATCCCCCTCTCCCCTACTTTAATTTAATTATTTTTCAATAGTGAAACCACTGCAATTGTTATCAATTATGTTCTCTATCCCTATAAGGCTTAAAAAATAGGCATAGACTTCAAGCAAACAAGTCTTTAAAAATTCTAATTGTTAGTATTACATAGGCTGTGTAGTGTATTTTATACCACCAAACTACAGTAGTTCTAGGCCTTACTGAGTCTAACTAAAAGACTTTTGACAGTTTAATTTTTTTTTTAATTTTTATTAGTGGCTTGCACCATATTTTTCTTGTTCTTTCTTTCTTTTTTTTTTTTTT